GGTGTTTTCTTGGTTGATCTTTGAAGTAGTATGCCCTTGACACAAAATGTTTGGGTACAATTATTAGCAAACATAAAGTTGCAATTCAGATCAATAATAACCTCATCCCTGGTTGCGTTCTCCGTTTTAAGAAAAAGGAAAGAAATTGAATCCTAAAGGAAAATGTCTGTGACATGTTGATGTGTGTCCATACTGTCACATTAAACAAAATCATTGCAAAGTTTGTTTTTGTAGCCTCTTAATGAGCCTGACTGCCAATTCATATTTCCAGGGCCTTGACGCATCGGGAGAATCAACCAATGTTTTGGAGTTGATTAAAACCATGCATTCTCTGGCTTCTCTAAGGGAAACAATTATCAAGGAACTTAATAGCGGCTTGCGAAATGATGCTCCTGATGCTGCCATTGCAATGCGCCAGAAGGTGAGCTTTTTGTAGAGAATTTAGCATTAGCATATAGCAATTTATTTATATGATTTGCTCCTTTGATTAGTGGCGCCTTTGTGAGATTGGCCTCGAGGACTACTTTTTTGTTCTACTAAGCAGGTGTGCCTAAGACTTTTATTTATTTTTGGAGCGATATTTCCTTTGGAAGTTATTTATCCCCTGCTTCATTTCTCCGCTTCACGTCTTGTCAATGATTTGAGTAGATTCCTCAATGCTCTTGAAACTATTGGAGGAGCTGTTCAACTGGCAAAAGATGTAGAATCAGGAAATGTTGCCTCGTGGAATGATCCTCTAGATGCCTTGGTCTTGGGTGTTCACCAAGTAGGTTTATCTGGTTGGAAGAAAGAAGAATGTTTAGCCATTGGAAATGAACTCCTTGCTTGGCGAGAGAGAGACCTACTTGAAAAAGAAGGTTATTTACTTCTCTTACTTATGTCAACTCGTTCTATGTAACTCTGACATTTAAGGCGACTTTGAGGTTGGAAAGAATTTGCGAGCTACAATTATAAGCTGAAAATGCTCCTTATTTTTTTCTTTTCATGAAGGTGAAGAGGATGGGAGAACCATTTGGGCCATGAGGCTGAAAGCAACTCTCGATCGAGCACGGAGATTAACTGCAGAATATTCTGATTTACTTCTTCAAATATTTCCTCCTAACGTGGAGGTACACATTAGCCCATGCCGTACATTCTGAATTTACTGATGCAACTTCTATTTTACGTCAAATTCGTTTGGCCACATAATCGCAAGAAAACGTGCTTATCATTTCAGATATTAGGAAAAGCTCTAGGAATTCCTGAGAACAGTGTCAGGACCTATACAGAAGCAGAGATTCGTGCTGGGTAAGTCAGACCTTTACTTCCTAGGACTTAAGCTTAAGCCGTACGAGTAACCTCATGAAATTATATGAAAACATTTTTCTCAAATTTCATTCTCTTTCTGTATTTTCCTCTGATCGTACCCGTGGTTCTGCCATACAGCATAATTTTTCAAATCTCAAAGCTCTGCACTGTTCTTCTAAAAGCTGTAAGAAATTCACTTGGTTCTGAGGGCTGGGACGTCATTGTACCTGGATCGACTTCGGGGACATTAGTTCAGGTACGTGGAGAAGGCAATGAATACATATCTGAGATTTTGCATCTACTACTTTGTGATACGTATTTGTTTCTGAGAATGAACTATCATTACAAAGCTCAGTTATCAACTCATAATGTCTGGTTTCAATGGTTTAGGAATTTCCAGTTTTAAATTCGGCGTTACGTATGAAGTATGACCTGTTCATAATTATTAGCACTTTCTTATGATTTATCATGTTATTCGCAAATAAATCGTAATACAGGCTACAGATGAAACAACTATTATCTCTTTGTCGTTGTGTGTGTTTAGACCGGGTGTTATTAATGCACCATATGCTTGGTTGTTTTGCAATTATAGAAAGTTCCAATCATCTATGCCTTGTAACTTTTATGAGAATTCTCTGGCTATTGTTACTGCAGGTTGAGAGCATTGTGCCCGGATCATTCCCATCGACTGGTGGTGGTCCTATTATTCTATTGGTCAACAAAGCTGATGGCGATGAAGAGGTTTTTGACCTACATTCAACCTCATCGTGATTCCTGACCATACTAAAGATTACCTTAAAACATGCTTTGACAGGTAAGTGCTGCCAATGGGAACATAGCCGGAGTCATGCTTCTCCAGGAATTGCCTCATTTGTCTCACCTTGGTGTTAGAGCGCGGCAGGCAATTAATTTTTTTCTCTTGTTTCACTTCCCTGATTTTTCCTTAAGTAGTGCATAGTCTAAATTCTTCGTTTCAAATAATTTTCCACAGGAGAAAATTGTCTTTGTGACATGTGATGACGATGACAAGGTCGCTGATATACGGCGACTTGTGGGAAAATATGTGAGGTAATTTCTCTAATATTATCCTTTTGGAGAATTAGCTAATCTTTTAATCTCCCGTAAAACAAGAAAGCTTATGTGTCATGTCTAATGTTCTTTCTAATGTGAACCTTACAGGCTGGAAGCATCTCCAAGCCATGTAAATCTGATACTTTCAGCTGAAGGTAAGAGTCGCACTTCCAAATCCAATGCAAACAAAAAAACGGATAAGAAAAGTTCATCTGTCGATGATGAAGAGTCCAAGCCTGTTTCTTCATCTTCTGATAGCCTCCTTAACTCTTCCAAGGTAAACTCTTGATATCTCTGTGATTCCGTACACTTCACATTCAGATCGCCTACTGATTTAAAACATTCATCCATAGGATATCCCTAGTGGAGGAATCATTTCACTTGCTGATTCAGATGCATCAACCTCTGGTTCAAAAGCTGCTGCATGTGGTCTTCTTGCATCTTTGGCAGCAGCCTCTAGTAGAGGAAAGATTTTTTAATGTCCAAGGGGACTAAATTGACTGGAACCAAATCTTATTTCTTCCTAAATGACGTTTTCTGGTTTCTAATGATTGTGCAGTGGACAGCGAACATGGAGTTCCGGCATCATTTAAGGTTCCAACTGGAGTTGTCATACCTTTTGGATCGATGGAATTAGCTTTAAAGCAGAGCAATTCGGAAGAAAAGTTTGCGTCTTTGCTAGAAAAGTTAGAAACCGCCAGACCTGAAGGCGGTGAGCTAGACGGCATATGTGACCAGATCCATGAAGTAATGAAATCATTGCAAGTGCCTAAAGAAACAATCAACAGCATAAGCAAAGTCTTTCCCAAAAACGCTCGTCTCATTGTTCGTTCAAGCGCTAACGTCGAGGACTTAGCCGGAATGTCAGCAGCAGGACTCTATGAATCAATCCCCAACGTGAGTCCCTCAGATCCTTTAGTGTTTTCGGATTCAGTTTGCCAAGTTTGGGCTTCTCTCTACACCCGAAGAGCTGTTCTAAGCCGTAGAGCTGCTGGTGTCTCTCAAAGAGAAGCTTCAATGGCGGTTCTTGTACAAGAAATGCTTTCTCCAGACTTGTCTTTCGTTCTTCACACGGTGAGTCCAGCTGATCCAGACAGTAACCTCGTGGAAGCCGAGATCGCTCCTGGTTTAGGTGAGACTTTAGCTTCAGGGACAAGAGGAACACCGTGGAGACTCGCTTCGGGTAAGCTCGATGGGATTGTGCAGACCTTAGCTTTTGCAAACTTCAGTGAAGAGCTTCTTGTGTCAGGAACAGGTCCTGCTGATGGAAAATACGTTCGGTTGACCGTTGACTATAGCAAAAAACGGTTAACGGTTGACTCAGTATTTAGACAGCAACTCGGTCAGAGACTCGGTTCGGTTGGTTTTTTCTTGGAAAGGAACTTTGGATGTGCACAAGACGTTGAAGGCTGTTTGGTTGGTGAAGATGTTTACATTGTTCAGTCAAGGCCACAACCTCTGTAGAATCTTTTATTTTCTATAAAGCGAATAATACCAAAAAAAATGTCAGAAATTATATCTGCATTTGCGTCATTACCATATGTGAAGGTATGTTTAATAATGATATATATTTACAATATTTTATTGAACTTTGTGGAATTTTAAGATTTCAGTTTTAATAACTTACAAAAAAAACTCAGAGATATTGAAGCCCAGTTCAACAAATATGGTGGTCCGAGTTGAGAAAAAATATGCGGTTTTTTTTAAATAAAAGTTTTTGCGATAAAATTTTTATTTTGCAGTTTTTGGATGATATTATTTGATGCAACGAGTTTTTTTAAAATAAAAAAATAATTTCTTAAAGAAAATATAATCTTTAAATTTTGAAATCTATAAACTATTAATCGTAAATACAATATGTGGCTCATTAAAAATTTAAAAAAGTTAGTGGTCCTAAGTTAGGCTGTCGTCTAACTCGCCTATCCTAAAGACCGGATCTGCTTTAAAAAGAAGTCGGATTTACTTTTAAGAGAAATAATATGTTTAAGATTTTCTCGTATCATTGTATTACTTTTATTTTGTATAAATTTTAAATCTAATACGTAGATATTGGTAAAAACTTAAAGAAAAAACGTAGATTTTTTTCTCTTATGAATTACAATTGAATCAAAATTTATATATATTGTAATATTTCTTGCTAAATGTATGTATATTATATGAATCTCGTATTGGCAGAACATCTCTATAATTATAATCATGTATGATTATCTGCCATTCATGTCTCTTTGCTCACATGGTGTTATATGTATGAATTGGCAAATTATAATCTCATGGGATCGCCATTTAGTGATCTATAAAATCTCAAGAGATCGACATTGATTGATCTAAATCTAAACCCTAAATTAACATGATAAATTAAAGGGATATTGGTCAATCTCGTGAAAATGTGAAAGTATGTAGAGAAAGCGACGGCTGAGATATATTACCCAAAATAGAAAAGTAGAAAGACTACTAGATCTCCTCCGAATCCAAAACACAATCCAGCTGATACTGATTTTGGGTTCTAGAATTGATGATTCTTTCTCAATGTCTGCTCATTTAAATAGAGAGCAGGTTGTTGAGTTTCATTCATCACAACAAATATCTTCATAGAACCTTTAGTATTTTCACTGAAGAAACAAAAACCAAACAAACAAATACATATGACGAGAGAAATAGCTGATGAAGTTCCAAATTTGGCGGAGTCAAAGTTAACAGCTCTGGTGGTCGATGACAATTTCGTAAACCAAAGCATGCATCACAAACTGTTGGACCGGCTAGGGATTAAAAACGACGTCGTTTGTAACGGCAAAGAAGCAGTCGACGTTCATTGTTCCGGCAGAAACTATGATCTAATTCTCATGGACATGGACATGCCCATCATGAACGGTATTCAGGTATTAATTTATATTATGTTAATCATTAAAATTTTCTTTATTTGTTATTATAGTTCTTTAAAGCTGACTTTCTTTAAAATCGAATTCGTCATATTTTCGCTTCTCTAGCTATAATATTTATTGAGAAAGCAAGAGTTAAACGAACCAGATAAATAAGGTTACATAATTGTTTTGTTGATTTTGTTTTCTGTCTTATTACATTATTTGAGAATTTTTCTGACCATAATAAAGAAGTCGTATGAAACTGTTCTACTTAGTCTTGGAATAAGACTCCTAACTAATTCGTAGTTTATTTTTCTTTGGGGCTCAAAAAAAAAATCGATAAGTTTTGAAAATGTTGCTTGCTTTTAACCTTTTAAAAAGAGTTATGCTTTTCGATAGTTAGTTATTTAAAAGAAAGAAAATAAAAAAAAATACTTAAAACGATCGATACTTGATTTTTGGCTACAAATTTTTTACGACAGATGACTAATTAGGTCTAGATACTTAATGACTTCTTTTGTTTGAACGAATGAAATATAGGCGACAAAGAGACTAAGGGAAATGGGGATAGAGAGCAAGATAGCAGGAGTAACGACAAGAGCAAACGAAGTAGAGAGGAAAGAGTTTATGGAAGCTGGCCTTAATGACTTTCAAGAGAAACCTCTCACCATCTCCAAACTTATATCTATTCTAATTAAACTTGATTTTTACGTCCAAACCTAATTATCTAATCTCCATTGTTAATGATTTTTTTTCTTCTCAAACTTCACATATTTGCTAAAGCAGTTTTGAATTTCCATACTTCAAATTGTAATGCAAATATAAACTAATTAGATAAAGTATTTGTGCAAGTCATCATGCTTAATTTTACACAATAATATATCGTTTGAGAGATTCGAGGTTTATGATTGAATATTAGGCAAGGTTTATGATGATTAATCACAACATCATAATACACTTTGCGATTTTAAAAATGTTAGCCAATCGAATGCTTTAAATCGAAACGATGTGCCACGTGAATTGAGCTAACGTATGTTTAAATCCAAAGTATCTTGGCTTATGAAAAAGTGTGACACAAAACTAATTTATCAAATTTATTACTATCACTTATTCATTCACTAATACCCGTTTTACGCAAGACCCATGTGTTAAGCTCATTTCAATTTCGTGCTTTAAGTCACTAAGAAGTAAAATCTTGCATCATCTGTTTGGGATTTTTTTTTTTTTTTGTCCATCTGTTTGGGATTTTGTGTTGGTATTCAAATTTTCAGTACAGAAAATGATGTCAATGAAACGTTCTTAAGTCAAATAGCTTTTTGTTTTGTAACATCATAAACTTTTTCGAAACTCCGAATTCTAGTTGTTTCATTGTTTTGAATTCTATAGAGTAACTGAAATAAAAGTTTTAAGGAGTTAGACGATATAAATTTTAATTTTATCCAACCATTAGTTTTTGTAATATCCCTTATACTTATAGTAAAGCTTATATATTTATTCATTGGAATCGACTAAAAGCTATAATTACAGCAAAATTGTGCTCATATATGTAATTGTCAGATTAGATTTTCTTATGACAACCTCAATTACTACATGATTTGTTTTTGTCAATTTTCTTTTGTTTGTCAACAATTCTTTCCTGTTGTCATTAAATAGTAATGTAGTATTTTTTTTTTTTTTGGCGGAATAGTACTGTAGTATTAAACGCTTGATTACGAATTTACGACGAAAAAACGCTTTATTTAAATTAAAGAAATGCCCTAACAGACACGTGGACGGATATTAAAAAGTCCCCTAAAAGTAACAACAGAAGATTAAAATATAATTAAAAAGGAATGTATAAAAATATATAAATATCTGTACATATATATGTGTATGCGTGCATATTTATATAGCTTGCCTCTCCTTCCTCATTTCTCACTTTTCAGCGTTGAACCAATTTCTCCGTGTTCCCTTTGCTTCAGGTTTGCTTTTTTTTTTCTCAGATCTTTCTTCTGTTTTCTAAAAATGTCTCTTTCACAGTTTCTTATTTTTGACTGAAAATTGCCAGTGAATCTCAAATACATGTGTAATGAACTCCGAATCGGTCTCGTGTCTTTCATTCATGTCATTATCTTCCAATGCTCGATCTTACATTTCGTCCAAGTTTGCATCTTAATTAGATCATGGATTCGTTCTCCATCTGTTCTATTCAATTCTGGGTATTGATTTGCCTTGGTGGATTTTCCCCTTTTGTTTATCGATTTTCTGAGAAAATTGTTAAGTAAATGATGAGTTTCTCCACTGTTCTTCCATCGGATCTGATTTCCGATGTTGATCTACTTGCTCAGCATTTAGATCTGCGCTTAGATCACCTGGTTTCGGATTCTCCTAGATTTAACCGAGAGGCTTGATTGATCCATTCTTCTCTTTTTTGGTAAAGAGCTCATTTTTACGATTGAATTGTTCCAAATTTTTCACTTTTTTTTTGCCTCTTTCGGATCTGATATTTGTTGATCTATATACGTCAGCATTTATCTATATGCTCACATCACTTGATCTTTCTTTCGCAAATGTTTTGTTTTTACTTGCTAGAATTGGTAAAAAGCAATAACGCTGTTTTAAAATTCCAACCTTTTTGTTCCCTTGGATCTTGCTTTTCCTGTTCTTCTATAAGCTTATCATTAAGATCTGTGCTTAAATTTACCTGGCTAAGATTTAAGAACAAGTCAGATACTCCATACTATTACACTAAAAAATCAGTGCCTTGTCTAATTGGTCAATTGACTCTTCTTAACAGGTAATATTTGAACGAATTGCTTAGTATCATGGGATCAGTTGTTGATGCTGCAAACAAGGTGATGATGAATACCACTTACTGTGCATGTTCTACTTTGGAGATACATTGTGTAAACCTATTTGAAGTTCATTTTTGGTGTATTTTCTCCAGGAGGTAAATGGAACCGCAAGTGGGAAGAAACCCACAGTTATTTTTGTCCTGGGTAAGTTCTTGGTCTCTTATTTGCGTTGCTAAACTGTTACTTGTTGGTCACATTGTTTTTGGTCTTCTTAATACAATGTCGTCGATGGATTGCATTGTTCTTAAGATCATTGAGATGCTCTCTTAGGTCGACTTGTTGCAGGTTAGTTGTATTTCTTATGAGTTCATTTTTCGTATATATTTAACAGGTGGTCCAGGAAGTGGAAAAGGTACCCAATGTGCCTATATTGTCGAGCATTTTGGCTACACACATCTGAGTGCTGGAGACCTTCTTAGGGCTGAAATTAAATCAGGTTCTGAAAATGGGTATGCCCTAAAACTTTCTGCCATTGTCAATATTTATGCATAAGCTTATAACCGCCTTCAACTAGAAATTTGGCTTTCATCATTGGCTATTACGTTAAATGAAGATGATCTTTGTTTTTTCTATTTCAATGGTTTTACAGAACTATGATCCAGAATATGATTAAAGAGGGGAAGATTGTACCTTCTGAGGTTACAATCAAGCTTCTGCAGAAAGCAATTCAGGATAACGGGAATGACAAATTCCTCATTGATGGTTTCCCTCGCAATGAGGAAAACCGAGCAGCATTTGAAAAAGTTGTAAGTATATTTATACTTGTTAACAGATCTTTATGTTTTCTTTTTGTAATACCATTGCTTAATTACATGCCTTTTGGTGATTTTTGTAGACTGAGATTGAACCGAAGTTTGTCTTGTTCTTTGATTGTCCTGAGGAAGAGATGGAGAGGCGTTTGTTGGGCCGAAACCAGGTTAATATTATATGAAAAACTCTGTCACTTTATTCTGTCTAGGCTCTTTCATTCCACGTTACATATAGATGTTGATTGTTGCCTCCATTTCTGTTGTTGAAGGGGAGAGAAGATGACAATATTGAGACTATAAGGAAGCGATTCAAGGTGTTTCTTGAATCTAGCTTACCAGTGATTCAGTATTATGAAGCTAAGGGGAAAGTTAGGAAGGTAAAATCTTTTTCTTGTTTAATTTCATCAAGGTACACTCCACCAATTGTAAGTTGTAACAAAACTGTTGTTGTTCTACTTACACTCAGATTCATGCCGCAAAGCCCATTGAAGATGTATTTCAGGAGGTGAAGGCAGTCTTTTCTCCTGATGCTGAGAAGGTAAAAACCAATAGTTGTGCTATTCTCTAATCTCTAGGAGTCTAAAGGAAAATAAAAAGATACCTATGAACCACCTGTAATGTAGAAGCTTGTAACTAATGTTTACAGGTTTGAATCATGGATATTCATGATTGTTATGTAAGACAAAGAATAATGCATTTGCATAAACTTTTATCTACGTTTTCTTTTTCTTTTTCCTGCAATCCATTTTAAATAGAGCAATGCCAAAAAGCGATGATGCCATTATTTTATCACCTAAGCTATTGGTAGATTCTTGAGTTAACGATTCTGTGAACGTCTTACTTAGGTTGAAGCCTAGGCAGCAGCAGCAGCAGCGTAAAGAGATACCCGATAAATTGATCAGGTAAGTGCAGTCATTGATGATCATGTTTTACATTTATGTTCAAACCCAACTCAAGTTTCGATCTATAAAAGTAAAAGATAACTTAAGAATCTGGAATAAAGGCTGTCGAAGCCGATGCTTGATATATATAGCATATATGCACATACATATATACAGAAATATGGTATCTAGTTCTGTAAGAATCTTTTTTTTTAACAAAGGATGATTGACTGGTTTCTTTTAAAATTTGTAGGTAGCTGAGCGTTGCATCTTTACCAGGAAGTATATGCTTGGCCGTATTTTTTCCTATATAACCATATGATTACTGTTGTTATTATTATACACCGTTTACCTATTCTATAATTTTTGTTTTGTTGTTTTTTTTTAATACATTTTTTGTACCTGATGTGATTGTGATTGGTACTTTTGCCTGCCAAATCCGCGATTGGCTTACTGTAATTTCATAAATTTGAATTCATGGGATTTTAATATTAGTCGTTTATTTATCTCTCTTGATTAGATAAACTTTTGTTTTTGCACCAAAATCCATATTATTGGACTAAATATCAGAAAACACACTCATTACGTGTGTATAATAAGCTAACTTTTAATGTGTGTGTATATATGCATTAACCACAGATGACTGTTTTGTCGTCCACTAAAAACTCGTAAACTATCTTATTTGAACCTGGGTTATATAACACGATGACAATGCTAATACAAACAACTAGATTTCAAATTCTCCATAGTTGCCAGATTTTTGTTTTTACGACAAGTTACCAACATCCAAGTTTCGTTTATAATACTAATGTATATTTTATAGCATATAATTATATATCCATGATAAAAGTCATAACCCATTTTCAATCAGTAAATCACTTTCTCTTCATCAGTAAAAATAAATATACCAACTAATTATACTATACTCCGAACATTTTCATAGTTCTCCAATTACTAAATGACATAAAAAGAAAGAACGACGAGAATGCAATTCAAACTATAGTTAGCCTATCCTATTTAAGTCAATCCAAACAGAAAATAACAAAACTCTCTATCCGAGTCAAACAAAACTAAAATAGCAACAACAAAAAAAGAAAATACACAGAGAACAACAAAATGTACTATATATAGAGGCAAAAAAACTCAATATATAAACGCCTTCCTCTCTATCATCACTAGATAACAAATCTCATATCTATCAAACAAACACAAAACACAAAGTCTTGTAAATTTTGTTTTGTAGCAAAAGAGAAAAATGGCGGGAAAAGTGTATATGATGATGGCATTGATAATGATGGGATGTGTATTACAAGCATGCAATGGAACGAGCGTTGGAGAGAGCAAGGGAACGCAAGATCGAAGATTCGATTGTTTTAGAGACTGTTCCGTAAGTTGTGGCAAACAAAACAAACCTTGTTACCAAGATTGTTTGACCAAGTGTGGTCTCCCACAACGACCTCCTAGACCAACACCATCTTCGTCATCTCCCTCCACCGTTTGATCTTATTTCTTATTTTTGTGATCTGTGTCATTCGTATTCTTCGAAGAAGATCCTTATCTATTTCGATCAATATGCTCAAGGATGTCTTCTATATATGTTATATTACTGAGGGAATAAAAAAATCGATATTATAAAGAGAGAAACGATTCTATTATAAAGGTAGAGCTCCTTCTGTCAAAACACATGTGATCACGATTCACATTTAATAATAGAAACGTCCAAAAACAAAAGAAGGTATTGTAGATAGACTGACTAACCACTTAAATCATACAAAACTCAGAAACATGGAATCTGATCATTATAACAACCTAAAGTAAAAAGATCCATCAGCTTTCCCGTGTTTCTCACGCAATCTCTGAAAATGCCAATTGAGGAAAACCTTCTCCTTTTTGTTGCCTCTCTCTCTTTTTCTGCACTATGCTTTGTAGTTAAACCTTGTTTGAAGACATACATCCTCCATGCTTGCACTCTCTACCGTCTGAAACAAATGGTTGAAGGAAGCACGAAAAGAATTCGCATTAAGAACACCAAAAAGGACAAGGATCTCTCTCCCTCAAGAGGAGAAACCACTAACTAAGAATACTTTAAAACCCTCTCTTCTCAGGACAATCTGCTGCCCTGTGCCCTGAACTTCCACAATTGAAGCATGCACCTCCAAAACTCCTGTTTACAGATATCATCTCAATCAGTTGAATGGGGCAAGTGCGCAGATTTTAAACTAGATTTGAATATTTGACTGAAGCTCATAAAACTCACCTCTCTCGGGAAGGAGCTCTGAAGCTTGATGATCTTCTGTCACTACCACCGCCAATCAACCAATCATCAGAACTTCCTCTGGAACCACCACCACGAGACCAGCTGCTTCCTCCGCCACCGCTGCTTCTACTTCTTCTGTCATCATCACCTCCCCAATTATCACGTCCTCGTGATGATCCTCCTCTACCGCCAGATCTTGACCCTCTAGAACCTCCTCTAGGCATCCTGTCTCTGCTAGAGAACCGTCCATAGTTATCAGTAGACGGTCCATCATCTTGCAGCGGAGGCAACTACAATCAAAGCCCACAAATTTCAAGTGTAGTTAGTCAAAAAAGGGTCTTATTATGAATATGGTTTGTTGTATCTAAAGAGTGAAGTCTAGCAGGATCAGTACCTTTGTTATCATGGATAAACTGTTTCCTTCTGGCACTTCTTTCTCTAGCAGATTTTTCGCTATGTCCTCTGGTAGATCAAAAACAGCTCCTTGCACCTGATAATGTCGCAGAATCAGAGGTTTTCAAAAGAAGATACTTTTAAGATACTGCTAATATAACAATGATACTGACCCTGTCATCTGCGATCAAGAAGATTTTTCCAACTTCATCTGCAGCTGGGCGGTAAACATCGGAAAGAAAACCAGTGACAGACCTCGCAGACAAGAAGCCTCTAGAGTTCGTTGGATCTCGTATTAATTGTAAAGTCACCCATCCCTGCAGCCCAAAAATTTAACTTCAGTTAATAATTGACGGATTGCTAAATATATATAAAGGACTCTCAAGAATCTCTCATTGGTTTTCCTGAATCTGAAAGCATGATTGAGAATTAAACCTTCTCATGACTGAGGAGAGATCTTGATGAAGGTGGCTGAGAGAAACCGCTCAGGTGAGCTAGAGCTGCAGCTAAAGCATCTGTTCCCTTTTCCTCAAATAGTTTTTGAGCAGTTGCTGAGAAAAACTTTATAGACTCAGGGTGTACACCGTTTAGAGTGGCCACCACATGGTCTGCTGACGCTTCCAACAAGTCTGCAACCGTTGGTGGGCTAATAAACTCAAATCTGCAGCCAACGTCTCGCTCCAGAGACCTCACTGTTCTCTTTTGGCTGCTGGCGTGCATGAGAATGGCAGAGCCTTCTTTTCCTGCACGCCCAGTACGACCAGAACGGTGCACAAAAGTCTCTGGGTCATTAGGAAGTTCATAGTGGATAACCTGTAGAAGAAAATGTCAGAACAAACAGACAAACATGCCATGAAAGAGGATAAGCTATGTACTGAAACTTTAAAAAACTTACAAGATCAACGTTGGGAATGTCAAGTCCACGAGATGCAACATCAGTGGCAACTAGCACTGTGAACTTCCCTTGGCGGAAACTATTGAGTGTTCTCTCTCTTTGATGTTGGGATATATCTCCATGAAGTGCTTCGGAAGCTATGCTGTTTGACAATGCTAGAGAGACCTCGTCTGCATCTCTTTTTGTTTGTGTAAAAACAATGGTCTTGCCACCCTTCGCATACACCTTCAAGTTTTGAAAAGAGAAATAATCAATTCAGAGCTAAAGACACCAATCAATCATCAACCATGTTTAGGAAACAGCAAACTATAAGCTGAGCCATACTGTTATAAGGTCGCTCAGAATAGTGCGTTTGGATGTCGATGATGCTGAGATAGCATAAAGTTTGATCCCTTCTGCAAGCTTCTCATCTTGGTCTCCAACCTACCAATCCATTAAAACAAACAAGAAACTAGCATTAAGCATCTGACTCGAACGGAAACAATGAGAAGGAACAAAATGTCAAGCAAAGAAAAGCTTTTACCAAATCGATGTTCAAGGGATTGTCAAGGTACTTTCTCGCCAACTTCTTGACCCAAGTAGGCATAGTTGCTGAGAAAAGCATACTTTGACGCTTCTGTGGGAGATTCTCAAGAATCGATTCCACGGCCTCCTCAAACCCAACGGCAAGCATCTGATCAGCTTCATCAAGTACCAAATACTCAACTTCACCCAACTTGAGGCTCCTTCCTTCGATCAAGTCGATGATCCTTCCAGGGGTTCCAACAACAACATCAACACCACGAGTCAGAGCACTCTGCTGAATGGTATAGGAAACACCACCATATACACAGACAGTGCTCAAATAAGGTGCAGACTCCTTAATCTCCTTCTCCACTTGCTTAGCCAGTTCTCGGGTTGGCGCAAGGACAAGAAATTTAGGAAGACGACCAGGCCTCCTGCTCAATCAGAGGAAACGAAACGTTTAGAAAATCCAATGGAAAGGTTAATGTAAACAAAGGGTATGTAAAGTTAAATGAAAGACCTGAAAGCAGAGTAATCTCCAGATTGTTCAGTGAGTCGTTTGATGATAGGGATACCGAAAGCTAAAGTCTTCCCAGTTCCTGTCTTTGCACGAGCAATGATGTCTCGTCCTTGTAGTGCAGGAACCAGCACAGCCCTCTTCAATTACCCAAATAAAAAAAATATATATGTCAATCGAGACTCAACGTATGTGGTCTTAAGCTTTCTAGAGCAGATAAGGCAAACAAAGAAAAGTCTTCAACAGTTTTCAGATTATCCGCAAAGGAGCCATTTTTGTAATTTGAAATTGGAAAATGATAAAACTTTGGAAACCTAAGTCGAAAAAGAAAAGATTTATCGAGAGAGAAAAGAGAGGAACCTGAATGGGGAAGAGGTGAGTGATACCACGCTTCTCGAGAGACTCACCGAGACGCTGAGGCAAACCGAGTTTTGAGATAGCGAGCTCTTCGGCATCGTCGGAGGAGTCGTTGCCGTCGAGGTCGAATTCGTCGTGGTCGGAGAGACCAAGGCTCTTGAAAGCTTCCTCGCTGAGAACGGAATTGGGGGTGGCGACGGCGGAGGGGATAAGAAGAGAAGAGGAAGTGGAAGAGGAAGAGGAGTGGATAAGACGAGTTCTACGAAGAGAGATGGGAGAGAAGAAAGGCTTATCTAGAGAGAGAGCTAAGCAACCAGACCTCTTCTTGGAATTGGGTTTAGAGATTTCGAGGTGAGGAACCTGGTAAAGAGAAGGAACTCCTACCGTCGACGCCATTGGAGAGGAAGAAGGAAGGAGGAACAAGGAACAAGGAACAAGGAACAAGGAAGGATAAGGTGAAAGAGAGAGTGAGTGTTTTTTTAAAGGCTTTGCAACCTTCCACGCCTTTCTTTTGCTTCTCTGCTCCGCCCTATCTTATTTATTTTCTCCTTCCTCCAAGTGGTCTAAAATATCAACATTTAATGGGCCGTTGTTGGGCCGATCTTTTGTGTTAATTTAGGTCCACTATTTTTTCCAGCGAATTAGAGGTTCTAAAGGTGCCAACTTTAACACTGTTAGACAAACTATTAAAAGCAATGAAGGCCATTTCACAGAGGTAACAACTCTTTCATTTACAAAGAGATCATCAAAGCCAAAATTCTCTCATCTTTGGATACAATTTGAGCAATGAGATATAGCATTTTTATTTGTTGCCCTCACTTCCGCTACCAATTTTCAACCCAAAAATAAATAAAAATCTCCTTCAAAATACTTATTTCTTAATCTCATGATAGAAAGTTGGCCACTTCTTTGCCTTGAGTGGCCTATTTGCCGCCTTCACCACATCAAAAACTTCTGTCACAAAAATCACCCTATTAATTCTACGACTATACTTTAATGGCTTCTTATCATTTGTTATAAGAATTTAACAAATACTACTCATTAATCCAACATCGAGCAAAATAAAGCATATTTGAATAAGAAAATATACGTTTTTTGTTTATCTATCAATGCAGTTGACGACCGCAAACGTTACCGTAGTTTTTTTTTTTTCCATTGCCGACAAATTATGATGAAGTTTATAATTGTAAATTAATAATTATGAACCATTATATTGAAATCATTGGATTGGGTTAGACTCGTGTATCTTAAGGAACATAGATTATTCCAAAAATAAATAGAAAATAAAGTTAGGAAAGGGAAATAATTTAGGGTTTGAAGTTCACAGGCTGGATTGGATGGACGTTGAACGGATTCCAACTCCTTGCTGATCTAAAAATCTTGAGACCTATAATTAAAGATTCCTTTTAGTTTCTTCATTCTTTTTCTCTATAATTAAAGATTCCTTTTAGTTTCTTCATTCTTTTTCTTTCTTTTCGACTTGCTTTGTTGTGTGAAACCCATCTCCATTAAAGTTTTCTCCTTTCTTAGGAAGGGAAGAACAACGAGGAAGGCTTATCAAAACCCTCTTCACAAAATCCATTAAAGTTTTTTCTCTCTGTTCCTTCCTTCTGTTTTCGCTTCGTTACTACGGTTACATTGTTCTCTCTCGTCCTTCAATTCAAGGTACGCTCTTCCCGATTGCGGATCGTGTCTCAATTCTGGGTTTGCGTCATTTGATCAACATAAGAGAACACGCATCGATCCTCGACTCCTACTTGCTGAATCCTTAACTCGCGACGCGAAATTGGGTTCCTGTTCTGCTCCGATCTCGCTGTGATCTTTCAATTTCAACACCTTCTTGATACCTCTCGGAGCAATTTGAAGTTTTTTCCAGATCCGTCTTAGCTCTTGTAGAGGTTTGTACCCAAAAATCTCTTTTTTGCTTGATTTTATAGTTTGAGGAGTTTATTCATGGAGAAATGTCAATTCTTTATTTTTGTTTGTTTGCAGAATGGCGGATTTGATACCATTTTATCTCAATATCGTGGCATTTCTATGTACTGCTGGAGCCATTGCTTTGGCAATATTTCATATCTACAGGCATCTCCTGAATTACACGGAGCCAACTTATCAGAGATATATCGTACGCATCATCTTCATGGTCCCAGTCAGTATTCTCATCTCTAACCTCAACTTTCTAGTCCATAACCATGTTGGATGCTGTCTCCATCCCTAACACGTCCTTGATGTTTTCTTCTACCTTGTCAGGTTTATGCCTTCATGTCATTCTTGTCTCTTGTGCTACCCAGAAGCTCGATATATTTTGATTCCATACGAGAAGTGTGAGTTTTCTAACTGTGCTGGCCCTTAAAAGTCTTCTGTTCCCGTTTAAATTCAGTGGCATTTTGAGACTCTAGTGATGACATTTTCTGGTTGTATCAGTTATGAAGCATGGGTCATTTACAACTTCTTATCACTGTGTTTGGCTTGGGTTGGAGGCCCAGGAGCTGTAGTGCTAAGTTTAAGCGGCCGCTCTCTAGCGCCATCTTGGTCTCTCATGACATGCTGCTTTCCACCATTAACATTGGACGGGTAAGTTTATGGAACGAAACGAAGTTCTTTGTACCTATCATCAAAGGCAGCATTTACATAGTCTTAGCTGACATCCATTCGCATGGTTTTTTCTTTGCAGGCGTTTTATTCGGCGATGCAAGCAAGGTTGTCTGCAATTTGTAATTCTAAAGCCTATCCTAGTTGCTGTCACACTTGTTCTTTATGCGAAAGGAAAGTACAAGGATGGGAATTTTAACCCTGATCAAGCATATCTCTATCTTACTATCATCTACACCATATCCTACACAGTGGCCTTGTACGCACTTGTGCTATTTTATATGGCATGCAGAGATCTGCTTCAGCCTTTCAATCCAGTCCCAAAGTTTGTGATCATCAAGTCTGTGGTCTTTCTAACCTATTGGCAGGTAAATTTGCGTTTTAACTTAAGAGTATTTGACATCAACTCTTGCCTCTTGCTATCTTCCACAAATAGTTGCTTTCTTCTAATTTTGTTGAATGGCTTTCTTTCTTTATACAGGGTGTTCTAGTATTTCTTGCTGCAAAATCTGGATTCATAAAGGGCGCAGAGCAAGCGGCTCATTTTCAAAATTTTATAATATGTGTCGAGATGCTTATCGCTGCAGCATGCCATTTCTATGCTTTTCCATACAAGGAGTATGCCGGTGCCAATGTTGGTGGATCTGGCAGTTTCTCAGGGAGCCTATCACATGCTGTCAAACTAAATGACTTCTACCATGACACTGTTCACCAGGTAACTGATTTCGTTTTAAACCATCTGTATGTTTTAAATAATAGCATTGTCATTTTGGTTTCCTGATGATTGGTTGTTACAGTTTGCTCCTACTTACCATGATTATGTGCTCTATAATCATAACGATGGTGGTGACGAGGGGGCAAAGAAGTACCGGTCGAGAACTTTTGTGCCAACTGGCCAAGAGATGGATGCAATGAGAAAGAACAAACCCGTGTATGCAAACAAGATAGATGGTGTCTCGGTCTCAAGTAGTCTATCTTCAGGGACAAGCTCACCGAAAAGCTCCAGCGTAACTTCTGATCCTGTGCGCTCTGATGCTGCTAAATCTTCCTTGCTTGTGGATGCCTCGGATTCTCTTGATACAATGTATGATATGTCGCTCATTGACATTGATTTATCTAGTTTCCCCAGCAATGTTCCCTCAGCAAATGAAAGTGGACCTAGATAGGAGCAGAATAAAGATGTAGAAGAAAGCACCATTTACAAGTACAAAATGTGCTCCTTATAGTTGGATTCAGATGAATCTTCTACAGGTGTGTTCGTAGTTTGAAGATGTTAGTAGGGAGTCTTGAGGATAAATGAAAAAAGCTTCTAAACCCATTTGCCTTCAACTCTTGTAGATTGCATGTTTCTTGTTCTTGCCTGCTTTGTAGATACAATAGGATATGGAACCTCTCATTGATGCTTCTGAAGCTTGGGAATTGTTTGGCAGCGAAATTATTCTTCATATACATGTAACTAGGTTGAGTATGCAGAGTCTTTTAAAAATTACATATTCTGTGTTCTTCTTGGCATCAGTTTCTGAAGTTTGAAACTCTTAAAAGGCTACGCCTAAGGCTTAACAGTAACACTATATTGCTTTTCCCGTGGAGATAGTAGAGTTGTAAGATAATTGTATGGCTAGTAAGTAATATTGTGATGTAGAATTTTAACTTTGGAGATACTAGCCAAGGCTAAGGCTGAGATGGCGAACTTGTGTGCCTACTGCCTAACAGTAACACTTGCTTTTACCGTGGAAATAGTAGAGTTGTTAGACAATTCTTATTACAGGTCGTGTACTTAGGCTGATAGGGTAGGTTTTGACTAGAGCAAGCAATGTAAATGCATAGGAGTTGGCTTATCCCTCTTTAATGCCCTATGTCACATCTTCACATACCTAACCACAACTGACTACTTTTGGTCCACCAAACATAAACTATTTAGCTCTCTCATATTACTTGTGTGACCACAAAACGAAAAACAAAATAAGTAGTAAATAAGGCATTGTCTTGGATGATACGTATTTCACGTTCTCTGCATCTCGAAAATGTCTTCTAATTCAATTAAATATAAAAAAGAATAGATTTCATTTACATTTTCGAAACAAATGGCTTTCATTCACTGCATTTACTTTTACTTTTCTGTTAATGGAATGTTGTTGCTCATCGGGAAAAGGCTAAAATAAAGTCTCACCAGACTTTTGGATGGATTAACGAGGACAAGACTATCAGATGAGCGAGCGAGAGAGAAAGAGCACATAGGCTTGCGCCAATAAGAACACAGTGTGTAAACATAAAGCTAATAAACACTATAAAAGCGAGACAGAGAAGAAAAGGAAAAGTAGAAACATCAACACGCGCTTCTAATCAAGTCATTCGCTATTACGCGACTGCGTTAGCGGCGGCGAGAGAGCGTGCGTTTAGAGATCTCAATCGACCCTTAACCCTTCACTTGACGTGTTCTTTTTTCCAACCTCGGAAATCAAGAAATTCCTAAAAAAGGAGCTATTTTTCTTCAGATTCCGATGAGTGAGAAGCTCGTCTTCAGAGGCAGCAGTGGCGGCGACTGGTGCTGGCAAGGAAACTATGGTTACGGAGCGTATGGAGAGTATTTGGAGAAGAGACAGATGTTTCTCAGGAGCTACCAGTTCTCCAGAAAACAGAGCTTCACTGAGAAGGTTACCAGTTCTGTGAGGAGAGCGAAGAGAGTTGTGTGGACGAGACTGAGATCAGCTCGGAGGTTAAAACGCGTTGTCTGGTCCCGTCTCAGATCGGCGTTTTTCTACCGCCGGAGACGTTTTTTCCGCCTTTTTCACTTCCACGATGAACCTTGTTACTGTTTCTAGAGGTTTTATAGCTTTATCTTCAGTGTTTGGTTCCGTCTTTGATTATCTTGTTATGCTCATATTAATCACACTATAATTCTCCGTTGTGGTCTTATTGATCAGATCAATAAAATTTTGGATTCAGTTTCACTTGTAATCTTCATTTGATTTTGGTAGTGGAAAGTCAAAATTGGGTTTATGTGTGTAACGGAGAGAGTCATACAAGAAACGTGATCATAGCTTCGATCACAGTTACGACTTAAGATGCGAGGGTCGTGGTCCATTCCTCAGTCAGAGAGAGTGGTCCGTTCCTCTTTTCTCGTGTCTATTCGTCTACAAGTCAAAGATGCATTTTCCTCTTGTTATTTTGTACGGTTTCGTTTTTAATGGGCCTTCACTGGGCCTCAATGCAAATCAAAAGAAGGACACTATTGGGTCAAAAAAATTCTTAAGCATCTCATGACCAACTGTTGTATGTTGCGTTTGTTGTATGACCAACTACATTTGTTCTTTCCCTTTTAATCCAATCATCCTAAGTTTTCTTTTTTTTTCTTTATGTAACTTGTGAATTTAGCAAAATGTTTAGAATCGGGTTTTGAGCATAAAATAGAAACTTTTTTTAGTCAAAAATTGGTTATAAAAGAAAAATAGACAAAAGCATAACATTGAACTAATTTATAATCCAATCCAACAATATATTTTTGTATTATTGTTGGATTTAATTTTAACAACATTTTCTTTAACCAAAATACAAAAATTAACATCTGGGACTTTTGTCTTTCTCATTATCCTCTCTTCTACTCATGTTGCCAAATGATTACGCCGCTGGCTTAGGTAGTGGCTTCTCTTTAATCTCTTATTTAGATATATAAAACCTCTTGGCTCTTATTCAATCATTGCACATGGCTCTCAAATTTCTTATAAACTATATATAACATCATTTCTTTATTTTTTTCTCTTTTTTTATGACAACCATAGCCACATAGGTCAAATACATGGCAGTTGCAGTCTCTCTCTGGCTTATGTGGTTAAACAAGAACTGCACAAATCAGAGGATTTGGGGATTTGTGGTTTTTAACAAATACAAAAGAAGAATAAAACCATGTGCTTTCAGAATCTTTCCCTCACTCTCTTATCTTTTAAAGGAGCCCCTTTACTCATCAATCATCGTCAGATAGTTCTTTGTGTTGTTACTCAACTGTTTCTCCTTTGATTCATTACTCATTGAACTGTTTTCTTTGTTTTAGAGCTACTTTCAAACACTTCATAAACAAAATCTTCCAAACAACAAGAAATAAGCTCAAGATGCTGCAGATTATTGGTAATTACAGGTCAAGCTCATCATGCCGGTACCAGAAGCTAAGTCATCATTACGAGAAGGTTAAGACAAGAACTATAAGACATAACTGGAGGAAGAAGATCGAGGGTAGGTCAAAAGGGTTAAGACTAAACCGGCCAAGGAGGCTGGTTCTTAAGGCACTGGTTTTGCCAAGAAGGATCTTCAGCATTTACACGCAGATCACAAATAAAATGAACAGAGAAGGTTTCTATCCCAATCTCATTCTCTCTTCCCACTGGGGCTTCCCTATTGTATTAGAGAAAAAACTCAAATTTTGACGTTTGTGACTTCGTATAGACAAAAAGAGATCGAAAACAGAGTAATGATGAAATTGTAATCAAATGTCATTTATGATGTTAAACCAAATGTTATTATATGATGTTATTGGAGTTTGAGGTTATGAAATAGAGGACAAACGGGTTTAATTTATCTCTTTGTTTCATAGTTGAGAGCAAGTGGAAGAGTAAGTCCTCTCTACTTTCTTGAATGCTGAGCAACATTCACGACCAAACAAAACATCGATATGTTTCTGTCCTCCACAGCCCAATAATGAAGCAACTTTACATTACTCATATTTGGTCTACAAACTACACATCTCGTTCTCTAAGTTAGCTTTGATACACTTGATTTCCTATACAAATTTCATACTAGTAAACCAATAGTCTAAGTGTGTAAATGTGTATTCAACTGATCTTTGGACTGAATGTTCATCCCTTTTTTTAATATAGATTTAAGAAGTTCACACTCAATAGACTCCCTAAGCCATGCGATGCGCCATGTTAATATATATCAATGGCTAGTGAAACTCCAACTAAATTTCCACGTACATTATATATGAATATTTCGTTTGGAATTAGTAGATGAGAATATACGAAATAGACTAAAGTTCCCAAATAAAAGAACATATTATTTAATATAATTGCTGACGATTAAGCGTGACAGAGAAAACATCAATCAAGGGAGAGAAAAAAAAAAGGTAGAAGAGAGATAGCATGATAAAGGAGAGGATCACTTTACAGAACATAAAGACTTTACAAAACGGAATGTGATGATTTGTGACAACCACCTCGTTTTTTAATATGTGCTATAATGAGAAGCAACACATTTAAAGATTGAAGGCTTGTCTGTAAAGTAACAAACTTTTCTGGTCACTTTGAGAGAATCAATAAGTATCATTATAAAGCTATGAAAGGGTTGGTGAAAGCCATCACATTTTCAGCAGTCTTTTAGAGAAGCTGATGTGACAAGAAGACACGATTTTGAAGAAGCAGAAGGTTATATGAGGAGTTTGGTGTATAAGAAGATGTGGTGGATTGTATATCGAAGGACGAACAAGAGGAACATACACCGAGATTGCGAGGTATATATATGTAGTGAAAAACTGAGATTTTGATTCATATATTTTACTAGAAATGTAATTTTTTTTTTAAAAGTATTAATTGTGATTTGACAGAGTAAGAAGATATGTGAGTTGGGAAAAGACTTGGATGAGTTACTTAAGGGGAGACTAGAGACGATCGAGGAGGAACCGGAAGCAGAAGAGCGAGAGCGGTTAGGAGAATCGCAGAAGCCAATGTTGGTTAAGGCTAAGACAAAAGTGGAGAAGGGAAAGGCAATAGTAAAAGCAAAAGTGAAGAGTGGGAAAGTGTTTTACATGTTGTGTGTTATAGGCTTAGCCTCTAAACGTGGTTTTAATGATCTTGTTCTTCACTAAACCCTCTCAACTTTTAATTTTCTTCTTCCTGATTTTTGTTTTCTTTACTTGACTGTTGATGTATATATATGTGTGTATTTCTTTCGATATACATGTAACGCAATTTTGTGTTTGTCCTTTTCTTTTTTTCCTTTTTTTACTCGGGTGGAGTATTCTTTATGTTGGTGAAATTAGCTATTATAATCAAGTTTAAGTAATGAAGTGTTTTCTCTACTAGTGAAAAAGTTACAATAAAATCATTTATAAAAAAAATTGAAACGAATGACGTATTCTTGTCACACTTAGTAGATGAAAAAGGTTGAAGTCATGAATCAACCATGCATCAACTAATCACCACGAGGCCTATACCGGTTTAGTATGAACTCCTAAAATTCATGAACCTCTGAGTATCCCACATCGTTTATAAGTTTGTTCTCAAAGTTATAGAATTGACATGAATGAAGAATGATGATTCTAATACCAGCTAGTACTATGAGATCTCTTTCCCTAATAGTGGCTCCTTTGCTTTTCTTTCTTCTTACGATTCATGCATCCACCGAGCCACGTCCCACCGAGCCACATCCCACGGAGCCACGTCCCCCCGAGCCACGTCCAACCGAGTCACGTCCCACTGAGCCACGTCAAATGCCCATATTGAGACATGACAACCAAAGCAGCGACCTCTCCTCTGCCATTGGCGACATGAGAAGGGACTCTTACTACGGTTTTGTCATTCTTCTCCATCTCCTCAACGATACAAACTTCTTCAGGAACCAAGAGATCACTTTCTTGATGCCTAGCGACGACGATCTTTCTCGAGCAGACATGAGTCAAGAGAATCTCCAGACATTTATCCTAAGACATACGATACCTGCGTGGCTTATGATCAACCACATGCTTCGTTTTCCAAACAAAACTCTTGTTCCTTGTAGCCTCCCTGAAAGGATGTTCACCATCACAAAATCCGGTGGGTCAGGACTTTATGTCAACAATGCGAGGATCGTTTCTCCTAATATTTGTCAGAACTCTCGCATATCTTGTCACGGAATTAGCAACGTTATTACATTCGACGAAGAAGACTCCTTTTCAAAGGTAATGTCATCACACAAAATGTTATCATCAGTTCGTGGAAGAATCACTTCGTCGAGGCACTGAAGCTTCTCCTCTCTTATACGTGTGAAAATCTTCTATGTTTCCAAAAAAATAAGAGCTCCGGTGTTACCATTATACTCTAGACCATATATGTTTTTGCCAATTTGTATGTTCAAAGAAAGTGGCAGAATAATTCACCCCCTATGTGCGTTTTCCCAAATCATTCAATAAACCAATATTTTAAAATGAGTTCCTAAATCCTTTTCATAAGTAGTTGAAACAAATCTGTCTTAAAATTTTACCTTATTGATAAACTATACGTTGAATCATAAATTGTGAAATGCACAAATTACCTAGTAAAGCCTTCATTTGTTTTTTTTTACTGGTAAATATATCAAGTTATCAACTACAAAAGCCATGGACGAGAGAGATTGTATCAACTACAAAAAAAAAAATAGTGCTGAAAAGAAAAACGATCGTTAACCTAAATCAAACA